GGGCGACAGCGTGAGACTCCAACTCAAAAAAAAAAGAACTCTTGTTTTATAATAAAAGTGGCAATCCAAAAATTTTTTTAAAAGGGGACCAAAACAGTTTTGGAAGCAGGTGAAAGGATTGAGAAAAAGTTGCTGAGATCCCACTTTCAACTAGGAAAAGAATCTCAGCTTTAGGTTTAGGCAGGCATGCAGCTCTAGAAGTAGACTACCCCCAGGAGGAGCCTCCCCATTCCTGCCTCCCCCACCCCCACACCTGCCTCTAGGTGAAACTTAATATGATGCCAAGCAGGTGTTTCAGGTGCATGATCTCCAAAGTCTTTATCTGTAACATGCCTCCCTGTTGGGTCCTGGCCAGGGATACTAACCAGAGATTGCTTGGAAAGAGCCCTTGGAGTCTTTACCACCTCTGTCCCCTCTGCCTGCAACATGTGTCCCCAGATGTTCTTTTTTTTTTTTTTGAGTCGGAATCTCACTCTGTCTCCTAGGCTGGAGTACAATGGCATGCTCACAGCCACCACAGCCTCTGCCTGCTGGGCTCAGGTGATCCTTCCTCCTCAACCTTCCAAGTAGTTGGAACTACAGGCACGTGCCACCATGCCCAGCTAATGTTTTGACTCATTATAGAGATGAGGTCTTGCCATGTTGCCCAGGCTGGTCTCGAACCCATGGGCTCAGGCAGTCCTCTCGCCTACCTCCTCCCAAAGTGCTGGGATTGCAGGCATGAGTCACTGCACCCAGTCCCAGATTTCTTAAGGCTCCTTTACTCCACTCAAGTCCCTCCTCACATGTCACCTCAGAGAGGACTTCCCTGCCCCTCTTTTTGCTTATCCTATTGTACATTTCTTCATAGCAACCAAAAGCACCTGGTATTACATATTTGCTTGTTCATATTCTGTATCCATCCCTAGCATATAAGCTTCGTGTTCACTGTTGTAGTCTCAGGGACTTGAACCAGTGCCTAATATGTATTGGATACCCAATAAATGTATCACGTAGGAGTGAATGAATAAATATGAATGAATGTTTCAAGGCTTGGAACTAAGGAAATAGAAGCAGGCAAGTCTTTTTATTTGGTTTGCTCATTTAAAAAAAATTTTGTTTATTTTTATCTTTTAGAGATAAGGTCTTGCTATGCTGCCCAGGCTGGACTTGAACTCCTGGGCTCAAGTGATCCTCCTGCCTTGGCTTCCCAAAGTGCTGAGACGATTGGCATGAGCCACCATGCTCAGCTTCTTTGATTCTTAATGAGAAAACTTATAGGAAAATATAATGGTCTTGGCTCCCAAATCTGGCATCTGAGATCAGACACAGCCATGATACAGCTTCATGTGGCGTATGCCCTGCTTTGCTTCATGGTAGGCACCGTGCTGCAGTGGAAGCCAGATTCTCATCTCCGTTCATTAGATATGGGGTGTTCTCAATTGCTCTTGACCTTTCTGGATTGGCACTTAATGTCAACACTCTTCCCATTCTGCTGCAGTGGTTATATTTATGTTGCATGGAGATGTGGGTAATATCTCTTGTTTGAGGAAAAGAGAGAACAAAAGATATATAAAGGGGCATGTTCTCTTTCTCAAAAACTGTTGGAAAAGTCTGGGGACCATGCACAGAGTTTAGAGCTACAGGTTCATTATTATTGTCATATTTGTTGTCATCATTCTCTTCCTCCTTATCAGCTTCACTAACATGCATTGAGCACTCATTGTGCACTAGGTACTAGTCTAGATGCTTTACATGTGTTAACTTATTTAATACACATAACCCTATAACACAACACATAACACACACCCCTTACCCTAACTCAAACTCTTTCCCCTTGCTCATAGCTTGAGAGTAAAGTCAACACACAGAGGCAGGCAGTGCCATTAGGATCAGGAAAACAGAATTATACGTGCATCCTGCTTCTGAACTTCCAGATAGTAGTTGTCCCTAAGATGCCAAACTAGCTCTTTCCCTCCAAGATCAATTTCAGGGGAACATAAGAGAAAAACACCAAGAAAAGAGAAGAATGCCGTCAGAAACCCTGGGGGTGATGGAGCTCTTTTGAGAAGGTGTATATGGATGGGTTGTTTGAGTCTTGGGCAAGAGACAGACAACTTTGCCCATGGAAGGATAAACCAGGAGGGGAATTGCTGGTTCCTTTGCTAACAATGACTCTGGAACTAGAGGTACCTGTCCCCGCACCCACAGGAAGACTGGTGTCTTTAAGAATAAAATCAAGGCAGAGGAAAAAGGCAGATGTCCCTTTCAAGCTCCAGGGCTGGTGTAACATAGTTTTATTGGAGGGGGCCTGAGAATATATTTCATGGGGATAGATTATTTGTGGATTTATCTGTGGATCCACCCTAGGACCCATTCATCCTGTCCAGCTCATTAGGGCTGATAGAGGCAAAGGCCTGGCCCATTTATATTGCCTGACAGAGTAGCCAATATTCCTTGGGAAAATGAGCTCACAGGCCAGGATAATGAGACATTTGAAGAGTACATCCATTTCACAAGGAAAACATTGTGCTAGCTTTTTTGATGGAGATCCTATTCAAAGTAAGACTATTAGAATGGACACACTAAGGTTTAAATTATCTTGATACACTAAATAATATTAAAGGAAAATATCAGCAAGGATATCACAAAAGGAAACATAAGAAGAACCAAACAGAAATATTAGGTATGAAAAATATAATAGTTGGAATAAAGAATATAATATATGAGATTAATAGCAGAATGGATAAAACATCAGAACAATTTATGGAATGAAATACCAGATTGAGGAAATCTATCAGAAGGAAGAGGGAAAGGACAAAGATGTAGAAAATATAAAAGAAAAGCTAAGAGATATTGAGGATACACATAGAAGTACTAGCATCTGAATAATAGGAGACTCAGGAAGGAAAAAATAAAAGTGAAGAGGGAGAAATATTCAAAGAAATACTGGAGAAATAGTTCCCATAATTGACAAAATAAGATGGAACACCCCAGGTTGAAAGGGACCACAGAATGTCAAAGAGGAGAGATAAGGAAAACCCCACAGCTAGATATATTCTAATAAAGTTTTAAGGATATCAACGACAGAGAAAATTCCACAAGCTTTCAGAGCAAAAGATCAGATCCCATGTTAAAAAAAAAAAAGGAGCAGATTGACAGTAGATTGTTTTTTCAACAGCAACACTCTATGTAAAAATACAATGGAATAGTATTTTGATTATCTCTGGCTGTATAGCAAATTACCTCCACACTTAGTGACTTAAAACAACAAACTTTTTTTATATCATATTTTTTTGGGGTCAGAAATTCAGCAGGGCTCAGCTGACTGTTTCTTCTATGTGGCTTGTGGTATTCATCTGGTGGAGAGACTGGTCAGGAGGGTTCAAGGTGGCTTTACTCAATGCCTGGTACCTTGGTGGGAAAGGCTGAAGAGTTGAGCGTGCCTGGAAATGGTCTGCCAGTTGCCTACCTGACCCCTTTCCATAGTCTCTTCAGGGTAGCTGGGCTTCTTCTTTTTTTTTTTTTTTAAAGTTGACAGACTATTTTATTTTCAAATATAATTTTCAGTAGCAAATCACTTTACTTTTTTTTTTAGAATTAGAGGGACAATCATTAAAGTTCTACTAATTTCAGCAACATGCTATCAGCTTCTTATTTTTTTTTTTTAAAGATGTGGGGTACAATTCAGGATTAGGTATATAAGTGGTCATTATACAGGTAGTGTTTGGACCTCCCTTTGGTCCGGACCCTCTTTGCCTGGTTTGAGATAAAGTAGCCTCATTGATTTTTTTTTTTTGAGTTGGAGTCTCACTCTATCGCCCAGACTGGAGTGCAGTGGCTGCTCCCGGCCACCGCAGCCTCGACCTGCTGGGCTCCGGCGATCCTTCCGCCTCAGCCTTCCGAGTAGCCGGAATTACAGGCACGCACTACCATGTCTGGCTAATTTTTTGATTTATTGTAGAGATGAGGTCTCGCCAAGTTGCCCAGACAGGTCTCGAACCCGCAGGCTCAGGCAATCCACTCACCTCGGCCTCCCAAAGCGCTGGGATTACAGGCTGAGCCACTGAGCCTGGCCACTTCATTGATGTTATATGCCCCTTCCCCCTTGGCAGTTTCTGGCTAATGGTAGCTAGGCTTCTTACCTGGAGACTGGTTTCCCACAAAGAGAATGCTCAAAGAAGCTGAGTGGGAGCTGCACCACCTCCTTTGAGTACATTGGGAGTTCCAAGATGTCATTTCCTCCACATTCTGTTGGTCAAGCAAGTCACCAAGGGCTAGTCCATGTTCAAGGAAAGGGGATTTAGACACTAGGAGGAGTAGCAAAGACTTTGTGTCAAATAGTGTTTTTAAGCACTGAAGAAAAAGTACTTAGGACCTAGACTGTTATAACTGATCAAACTGGCACTCAAAGATGAGAACATGAAAAAGTGTTTGGAGGCATATAGCCCTTCAGACACTTTCCCTTAGAAAGACCTACACTGGTAACAGTTTTGGAGAAAATATTTAAATGAGAGCAGAGAAAAATCCAGAAGATGTCATGAGAGATAAATGAAGTAAAGATGACCAGATTTCTTAGTAAAGCTTGACATCTAAAAAGTAATTAACTAAGACCTAAGAAAAAGAGAAAATATATTGGTAGCCAACCAGAACCAAACCTAGATAATTGTTATCATGATGAGGGTTGGAAGCATGGAGACCAGGGAACATGAGATTATGTCAAATGTCTTCTCTTATAGGGTGGGGGGATATGATATCAACTTAAAAATGAATAAAAAGAAACATAAGAAGTTAGGCAAATGGAAAGAACATGTGACTTGCCCAGGGCCACACAGCTGTTATGCAGTAGAGTTGAGTACTAAACCTGGGCAACCCTGCTGCCAGTACCCTTGTGTGAGTCAAGCGTTATCATAGGGTGATCAGTGTCTATGCTGTAACCCATCCAGTGGAGTAGACTCAAGGACAAGCCCGTGCCTAGTCAGTTGATCTTTTCTCCATTTTTGGTTATCTTTTTGTTTCAGGTTGTGAATGGACAGAGGGAGAGGCCACCACTGTGTTGGAGCCCAGAGCCGTGAGCCACCTGGTCACTTGGCAAGATGGCCGATGTAGCAGTGAGTTCCTGGCTTCTCTGCCCAAGCCAGAGTCCCATCTCAGTGTGGCCACGGGGTTTGGCTGTGCAACCATCTTCTGGCTTTTGCAAAATAGGTAGGGACACCTATTCTTTGAATTTGGGGCTGGGTTTCCAGGAGAATGAGAGTAGGTGGGGCTACGTTTCCAGGAGAATGAGAGTGGGTGGGGCTGCATCAATGTCAGTCTGTCCTTTTAATTCAGCCTGCTGGACTGTGCCTCAGCGAGCATGGCCTGACACAAGGTGTGGTCACAATACCTAGACTGGGTCCATAACTGCTTCATTTTGTAGAGGGCTTTCTATTGATTATTCAGTTCTCACCTCGAAGGGAAAAGGTGGTGACAGAGAGGGCAAGTGACTTGCCAAGAGTCATGTGGTGAGTTCACGGTGGGGTCAGTCCCGTGGGACTGCTAAGAAGGCCAGTGTCCTGCTCTTCCAGGTTTGACGCTTCCTTCTCTGAGTCCCCTCCCGTAGGGCTGACTTGGGCTGGCTTTTCTTGGAGTAGCTGGGAGGTCCTCACCCCAGAGGGTCTGGCTGTACTTGAGTCACAGCATTGGGGTTGTGGCTGCTGCCTTGCTATGCCATTGCCCACACCTAGGTGCAGCACATGCTTTCAAGTTCATGTTAGACCACTGAATTGTTTTCGATATGAAAAACAGCCCAGAGTTCCTGAAGTTCTACGATGCAGCCGGCACCATCCATGACTATGTGGTTGCCATGCTGTGTGGCCTGACAAGACCCCTGATGTCTGATCAGAATGCCGCTAGCTGGGGATATTTCAACACCCAGAGCCAAAGCTGGAACTTGGAGATGTGAGTATAACCCCTCGTAGCTGCTGCAGGCTGAAGGTCACCTACAGGGCTGGAGCTTCAATAGGGGCTTTCCATTGGGAAATGGCGGAGGATCCCTAGAGGCCAGAGATCAGGGTTCAGTGCCCCCAGCCTGTTCCCATCACTGGGCATGGGTGGGCCCAGTGTAAGTTGAGCCCTGGGGAGGGGGGTTCTACCTCTTGTCCTCCTACCCTAAACCCTTGCCATGCTGTCCTGTTTCTCCATAGCTGCCAGACCTAGGTCGGGCTCCCTGCTCTCTGTGACCTTGGGTTCAGCCTGTAGAGATCTTTATTAAATATATTTAACACTAGGATTAAGGAGAGTTAGTAGACTCAAGGGACATTTTTAAAGTTCTTTTTAAGTGACCATTTACCTTTTCAGGTACAGAAGTCCAGTGCCCTGTAAGTTCACTTCCTTCAGGGCCCAAATTCTGAACTCTGAAATAAAACAAAAAAGCACCTGGTAGTTCAGGTAAAGGACTTTCTAGCATGTTTTGTAAATTGACAGCCCCATATTCACTAACCCTGAGTGATGAATGCGTTTGATATTCAGGAGGCTGATAGGTTTGACTTTGGTTTGAACTGTTCTAACCAATCATAACTGCACTGAAACTCCGACTGCCTCCCTTGACAGAGTGTTTGTGTTCCCTTTAAGCACAGGAGGCCAGAGTGTATTGATACCTTTAAGCTTTGTTTCTCTCCTGGAAGGTGACTCTTTTGAAGCCAGTGTGCACTATTTGCCAAGCCTGAGCTCATGGTTTTAAAAAAAGCCAAAGAGGCAGTGACAACATTGGATTCTGTCCTTCCTTCCCCTATGTGTGTCCTATAGTGCTGTTTCTTGCTGAGTTTTCTAGAAGCAGCAAAAAACAAAACAAAAAACCTGAAGACCAGGTACGGATCAATATAGGTATCCACTTTTGTTTTACAGACTGAGGGGTGTGGGTTTTCCCGTCCACCTGCTCCCAGACATCGCTGAGCCTGGCAGTGCAGCAGGCAGAACTTCCCACAAGTGGTTTGAAATCCCAAAAGGGACACAGGTGGGAGTAGCCCTGGGTGATTTACAGGCCTCTGTCTATTCCTGCATGACCCAAAGGACAGATGCAGGTATGTTTTTCTTTTGTGTTCTCCTGAGACTTACACTGCTGCCTCCTAAGCATCAGCTCTGTGTGAAGAGCTGAGGGGCACACAGAACTCAGCAGCCCCAGTATCCTGCTGGAGATTGCTGATTGATTATTCTGTGAAGAAGAAAAACACCCTCCTCCCTACAGGTGAAGCCCTCTGCTGAGAGAGCTTACAGGCCAGCAGAGCGTGTTCTGTCCCTGAGCATCTCTGCCAACACTCTCTAGGGCCAGGTAAGGGAAATGGCTCTCTCTAGCTGGCCGGTTTCCAGGTGACTCCATGACCAAGAAAATGGATGAGTAGATTAGGGTTTTTGTTATGTATTTTTCAATGAAAGTTATGTCAGATCTGATTAGAAGTACAAAATCTTTTCTGTATTCAGGGCTAGAGAATCACGGTGAGGTGGAGGCAGTGGTCTGGGCCAGGGATTGGCACACTTTTTCTGTAAAGGGCCAGATAGCTGATGCTTTTGGCTTTGTGGACCTTGCAGTGTCTGTTGTAACTGCTCATCTCCGCTGCTGGAATTCAAAAGCAGCCATAGACAGCATGTAAATTAAGGGACATAGCAGTGTTCCAGTAAAACATTATTCATAGACAGTGAAATGTGAATGTCATATAACTTTCATGTGCCATGAAATATACTCCTTTTGATTTCTTTTCAACCATTTAAAAATGTGAGAACATGCTAGTTGTATTGTAAGAAGGTGCAGCCCCTTTGGAAAACAGTCTGATAGTTCCTTAAATGTTAAACATGGATTTACCATAGAACCCAGCGATTCCACTCCAAGAAATATATCCAAGAGAATTGAAAACAGATGTCCACACAAAAATTTGTACACAAATGTTCAGAACAGCATTATTCATAATAGCCAAAAGATAGAAACAACTCAAGTGTCCCTCAATTTATGAATGGATTAAAAAAATTGGTATATCCATGTAGCTAAAAAGGAATGAATATCTAATAGAAGAACAACTTAAGCATTTTACATTTTAAAGAGTTTATTTGAACTTTTGGCAATTCATGAATCAGGGTAGGTAGCACCAGACTCCAAGTGGTTAGCATTCTACTGGGACAGGCAAGAGAGGAAACTTTCATAAAGTATTTGCAGAAGCCAGACAACAATTTTGATTGGTTAGAGTAGACAGTTCCTTGTTAGAGGTTAGCTGGTAGTTTCTGATTGGTGCAGTTTCTAGTTTTAATTTATTGTTTACACTGGGCATTGGTTTGTTCGCATAGGGATTTATAATGGTAGTGCCACTTTAGTCTAATGGCCTCCCAATTAGAACTTTTAAAAACAATTTCCCCCTTTTGGTCAGCCTTTCATTTATGAGAGATTGTACAACATCGCTCTTATGACATTAGGCTAATTGAAGAAATATTCCTTTTGCTGCGATTCTCATTTTTGTTTTTTTAATCACAGTGAGACCCCTGGTATACCATTGACGATGGGCTACAAACACACATTTAAGACTGCAGTGCACCAGGGAGATTATAATAATGACTATCAGGAGGCTAATACCAAAAGGATGAAGTGTGCTCTTAAACAATATCCCCATGAATCAAACCAACTAACATTTTTATAGAAACAAAAGGAAAAGGTCATTGATTAGAACAAACTGTAAATTCAGTCTGAGTCCAGAAGGAAGTTAGTCAAGAAGATTTCTAGATCTGAGCCTGAAGTGTGTTTTTCTGATTTGCAGTTTGAATGTCTCTTGATATGGCATTGGGGATTTCACCGAACTCCCTGAGTGGTTCACACATCAATGAGGGTTATCCTCTGAAATTGCATCAAGGTGTCCATCTCCAGCTTGTGGACTTTCAGGAACAGAGCACTTCTTGTTCTTAGTGATTCCAAGTTGGAAAAGTGGGAGAAAATTGGATTGGGGGAACCTAGAAGAATTCAGGATCCAGTCCTGTCTTCTGGTAGATAATACAGTTTGAAAATAATGGACAGGGCTATAGTCTAATAACAGATGTACTATAGTTTTTTCTGAAATGTCATTTTTCCCTCTATGGTCATTCCGATTTCTATCAAAGATAATTAGATTAAGACTAATTTGATTGCAAAATAAGTTTAGTTTCATCAAGCTTGGCCTGTTTACACGGTGCAACAAGACTATGACCACGGAGACTCTTTTTTTTTTTTTTTTTTTTTGAGTTGGGGTCTCACATCTGTCACCTAGGCTGGAGTATAGTGGCGTGCTCACGGCCACCCCAGTGTCGACCTCCTGGGCTCAGGTGATCCTTCCGTCTCAGCCTTCCAAGTAGCCAGAACTATAGGCACACACTATCACGCCCAGCTAATTTTTAAAAAAAATTTATTGTAAGATGAGGTCATGCCAAGTTGCCTAGGCTGTTCTTGAACCCGTGGGCTCAGGCAATCCTCTCACCTCAGCCTCCCAAAGTGCTTACAGGCTTGAGCCACCGTGCCTGGCCTAGACTCTTTTTAAGTTTGTTTTGCTAGAGCCTTTTGATATGGAATCTCAGATTGGACTTTTAGAAGCCTTTCAAGGCTAGAAAGTCAAACCAAGGCCAACTTCAGACTTTGCCTGCAGTATCTATAGATTTGGGTGAATTCCTCTCTTCTCAAGAGTCTCCAAAATATCTGGAGGTTCCTGGGCCTTTCAGGAATTGACAGTTTTTACTCACTCACTATAAGGCTTGAAACCAGGCATTCTATGCACATTCTTGAATACGACATTCCAGTCAATATAACCAGTGTTTTCAATTGTATCCTGTTATAAAGAGAACAGATTCCTTTTGATCTTATATAGATAACTATATTGCCATAAACTAAAAACATTCACAAATAGCTTTCCAAATTCTAAAGGATCAGAGAAAGTAAATATTTACATTTTTTATTCACAAAGGTGTACTTTACCAAATTGCTGGAAGCTATGGGTAGCTTAAAATAAAAGGAAACAATATTTTCTTTTCTTTTCTTTTCTTTTTTTTTTGAGTCATAGACTCACTCTGTCACCCAGGCTGGAGTGCAGCGGCACTCTCATGGCTACTGAGTCTCGGCCTGCTGGGATCAGGTGATCCTTCTGCCTCAGCCTTTCAAGTAGCTGGGACTACAGGACCACACCTGGCTCATTTTTTGATTTATTGTAGAGACAGGGTCTCTCCAAGTTACCCAGTCTGGCCTTAAATCCCTGGGCTGACATAATCCTCTTGCCTCCACCTCCCAAAGTGCTGGGATTACAGGCATGAGCCACCGTGCCCTGCAAAATGTTTTCTTAAATCTAGAAAATAAAACATTAATGAACCAGCAATATTTCAAATGATAAAAATCATAAAAATATTATCCTCTTCATTTAGTTAGTCCTCTGTAATTAATTCTTGTTCTGTTTGATATTGCTTAGCAGTATCATGAGCTCATTTTTTTTTTTTGGAAAGTAGGATTTATTGAAAGGACAGAAAATTTCCCAGGGTGGAAGGGGACCCGAGGGAGTTGCCTCATGAGCCCATTGGTTTCCCCATTAGAGTTCTGGAAATTCTTACCTATTCTAATGGTATAGGATCGTAAAGTTATCAGAAATCTGTATTGTAGAGTACTTGGCAGAGTCATTCCCTTGAGAAGAAGAGACAATTTTGGACTATGGCTGATTGCAAATGCTGTTAGAGAAGAATCAAAACAATATTTGGCTATGGATGTCAAGACTGAAAGTAGCTTGTTTCTCCCATCAGTGAGCATGTGGAGAAACAAAAACAAAAGCAAAAAAAAGGCATTCTGATGCAGATTTAATAATGATGCGATTGACAAGAAGATTTGGTTATTTTCTGTAGCATATAGCATTTAATATAATAACCAAAATTATTATTGACAACATTATTCCAAGACATATCAGATTTCTAGGAATTTCATATAATTTTCTAGAATGCATATTAATAACTTATCTATACAACTATAACTCAAGGGAGGTTAAGTACCATTTCTTTTTTTTTTTTTTTTTGAGTTGGAGTCTTGCTCTGTCGCCCAGAATGGAGCAGTGGCCGCTCTCAGCCACTGTAGCCTCGACCTGTTGGGCTCTGGCGATCCTTCCACCTCAGCCTTCCGAGTAGCCAGAATTACAGGCACGTGCTACCACGCCCGGCTCATTTTTGATTTATTGCAGAGATGAGGTCTCACCAATTTGCCCAGGCGGGTCTTGAACCCGTGGGCTCAGGCAATTCACTTACCTCAGCCTCCCAAGGCACGGGATTACAGGCTGAGCCACCAAGCCTGGCTAAGTACCATTTCTTATTTGACAGTGCTTCCCATATAATCTAAAGTCTCAAATAAACCTAATTTTAAAGATCCTTCAGACATCCAGGGGTCCTCTGGGATGTTCCAGAGTTAGTTCAAGGTCAAGCTAATTTTTAGAAAATGCCACCTTAAAACATGGTATATTGATAACTTTCAGATAGAGGCACTTAAAAAATAGGAAATGCAGGGAGAGGCTTTCTCTGAATGCAATCCTCCCACATCTGCTTCCCAAAGTGCTGGGATTACAGGCATGAGCCACTGTACCCAGACATAGTTATTTTTTATGTTTAGAACAGTTCGCATCCACTCTTTCAGCATTTTCCAGTGATATAATGTATCGTTACTAGTTATAGTCATCTTGCTGTATAATAGATTGCTTGAACTTATTTCTCCTATCTGACTGTAAATATGTATCTTTTGACCAAAATGTCCCCAATCCTGCCCACCACTCCAGCTCTCCTAACCACTTTGGACATATTTTCAAAACTAGCACATTCTCTCACCATCCTGTTGTGACTTGTGGCTGCTGAGTTAGCTCTCCAGGTCTAAGCTCTGCTTTCTTTGGACCCTAGTTCTCAACATCAGCACCTCGGTTCAGTTGGCAGCCGCCATGCCTTCAGGATTCCAGCCGGCACAGACTCCAGACCCCATGGCTCCAGTTGCCTACTTTCCATACTTTGACAGGACCTACCTGGGGGTGGCAGCGTCCCTCAACGGGGGAAATGTGCTGGCCACATTCGTCCACATGCTGGTTCAGTGGATGGCAGATCTGGGTAAGGTGTGGCCTACACAGTTGTGTGTTCTCTACTTGTTCTTTCCATATGGCTGGGTCTTGGATCTCCATGTGCTCTTTCGGCATCCAGATTCAGGTCTCAAACCCTGCCAGCTCCCGGCATATTCCTTCCTTCCTTAGGGATCTGAGCTGGTAGCCTCTTTTCCTCTCGTTCTCTAAGTTGCCATCACCTACTCTCTTCTTTGGATGGGGCATCTTTCCCGCTAAGCTTGACTGTGGAATATCATAATTATCTCTTCAGCTTCCTCCACCCACAGTCTTACTTTCTCTATCAGTAAGCCCCTGAGTTTCTTGCATTTAAGGTTTTCCTTCTGATGACTACAGATAGCTGAAAATAGCCTGACCAAAATGTGGATGAGTGAAAAGACCCTTGGTATTTTACAATACTATAAAATCCTCATAGTACTTATTCCTGGTGAGTAGTTCCTGACTCACTTTCTTGAAGGCTCCCTGGAAATTCTGAAGCCCTCATGCTCCTTTCTTTTGTTTCTGGGGTAGGATTTATGAGATCTTCTTTTGCTCCACATATACAGATGCTTCTTGTCTTACAGTGGGGCCACATCCCAATAAACCCATCATAAATAAAAAATATCATGAGTTGAAAATGCATTTAATATACTTAACCTATCAAATGTCATAGCTTAGCCTAGCCTACTTACACATGCTCAGGACTCTTCATTAGCTTATAGTTGGGAAAAATCACCTAACACAGAACCTACTTTATAATAATGTGTTGAATATCTTGTGTAATTTGTTGGATACTGTACTGAAAGTAAAAAGCAGAATGGTTGTGCGGGTTTTCAAAGAACAGTTTCAGGCAACCCTTTTTTCAGGTTCTCTCCCACTTGGGCACTTTTTGTCTTCTTAATAAACTTCTGCTTTCTAATAAAAACCCCCAAAACCAAAAAAAATACAAAACAAAATAAATTATGGTTTCTACTGATTGCACATTGCTTTCACTCACCAGAATGTCAAAAAATTAAATTGAGCCATCGTAAACTGAGGACCATCTGTACAGTGAAATATATAACCTCCTTCTTCCAGGAGAGGTTCCCTTTGCAGGCATCTAAGGTGGAAGTGGAAGTTCTGTGCATCTATCCAGGATGAGGGAAATCATGGCCATCAGATGCAATGGTAGGAGCTCCAAATCAGGAAATTGCAGGGAATGTCCAATCCAGTAATAGGGTCAGGCACAGACAGCGATGAACACATGGGAACCTTATACTGGGTGTACAGAGAAGTGTTGTGGACTGATGTCCATCCTTTCAGACTGGCCAAGGACAGTGGGATTGCTAGGGGAGTCCTGGGATTTCTGCGACACTGCCAATGTCTCTAATAGCAACCATGATGACAGTTGTTAATCAGTGTAGTCATTTGGTCTCTTTGGCTAGGAAGCCTAGGTTAGGGTTAGGGCTCACAGCAACACTTAGTAGACAGCTCCCTGTGTCTGGCTGGGGCCTGCAATGAGACAGCTGGTTGGGATATGGGCAAGTATAGTTAGCCTGACCATATGAGTCCCTGAGCCCAGAAGTTGCCAGCCACAGTGTGAGGAGAAGCGACACCATGGGAATTTTCTACTGTTTCAGCCTGCACGGAGGGGCTGCCTGAGCTCACTCAGGTCTTCTCTATTTCTGGCAGGCCTGGAGGTTGAAGAGTCCACTGTGTATTCACGCATGATCCAGGCAGCTGTGCCGCAGAAAGATACCTGCCTGACCATCACCCCAACAGTGCTGGGGGAGAGACACCTGCCAGACCAGCTAGCCTCAGTAACCAGAATCTCCTCCTCCGACCTTTCCCTGGGACATGTGACCAGGGCCCTGTGCCGAGGCATTGTTCAGAATCTGCACTCCATGCTTCCTTTTCAGCAGCTCATAGAGTGGGGAGTGGAGCGGGTGATGGGCAGCGGGAGTGCGCTGTCCAGGAACGAGGTGCTGAGGCAGGAGGTGCAGAGGGCTTTCCCGTTGCCCATGTCCTTTGGACAGGATGTGGATGCTGCTGTCGGGACAGGGCTGGTCATGCTCCAGAGAAGCCTCAACCAGAAGGAGTCTAGTGAGCAAACTCTGCAGACTGCTACAAATTTTACCTAATTAACATCTCTGACAACCTCTGGGTCATCTTTTCCTGGACAGTTCTGTGGACAGCTTTCAAGCAATGCTTGTCATGAGGCACTGTCATGGCCAAAACTTACCTTCAGGACATACTGTAATCAGCCATGAGTTACCAACCAGATCCAAAGTTAGTGTCTTCTAGAAGAGACCCACCTGGGAGGTGTTTGCAAATGTAAATGTGGAAAAAAGACACACACACATACACACACACAGAGTGAGAGAGAGAGAGAGAGAGAGAGAGAGAGAGAGAGAGAGAGAGAGAGACAGACAGACAGAGACAGAGACTAAGAATGTATCCCAGCCTCCTGTTCAGCAGGCTCATCTGGGGTTTGCCTATAGACAGAAAATAAATGTGGACTTCAGACATCAAAAATCTGGTGAGTATGGCTCCAAGTAAAAAAGAAGACCCACCTTGTATGATATGAATCACATCACATGCACTGCTGGAAAAGTCCTTCCCTGCTGGATTGTATCATGTACCAGTGTCCTCTTCTCCTGGCCACAGCTGGTTAGCTGGGGCAGGGGTGGCTCAAGCACAGTGAAACAGGCTGACTCAGATGAAGATGCAGAAGTCTGTTCTGGCCTTCTTGCTGGTTGTACTTACCTCCAGGAAACCTGCTGCACTGAGGCTGCCCCAGGTCCTCACAACATAACCGGCTTGAAGGCATGTCACAGGGAAGGAAAGGTTGGTGGCATGACCAGCAAGGGGGACGCATGCTGTGTGGCCAGCACCAAGCTCTTAGATTATGCACATTGTGCCCATGAATCTGACAAGGCACCAGCAGCACCCTTTTCCAGGAGTGTGACTGCAGCAGGATGTTTTTGACCTGCACATCCCTAGACTTCTTGGGCAGGAATGCAGCCAGGCAGAGTCCTGCCCAAGGGAGGATGCAGTTTAATCAGAAGCCCTTATCTCTCAGGCCCTGGCTCTTTCTCGTGTTTGGGGCCTGGTTGGCCCGTCATGTGTTCCTGGCTCAGCAGAAACATCTGCTTGAGTTGGTATCCCTGGAGGGATCCCAGAGCATCTTAAGTCTTCCTGTGGTTGCTAGGCATGGCTATGGGATGGCTTCCAGGAGAGGGCCACCATCACAGTATCTACTCCCAGACTCCCAAAGGACCCTGGGCTTAGGCAGGCCTGGCTCTGAGGTACTCAGGCACCTGTGAGTTTGGGAAGCAGTCATGTTGTCTCCTTAAAAATTATGTGCCTGCTGGAGACTTAGATCAAGGCAGCCGCCTCACTGTACTCACTGAATTTCAGGTACTAAAGCCCATTCTTCCAAACTTTGTACCTTTAATAGAACACACACCCCTCTGCTTTGGGAAGACCAGGAATAGCACAGTCATGGAGCTTGGGTCAGGAGATTGCACGTAGCTCAGGAAGAGCTTTTGCCGGTTGTCCCGAGAAAAACCTTGCTCCAGTGTTCGACCAGGATGAATGGTTAGAGATCACTCAGGAAAGTTGTATACAGTGGTTGCAGCTTATCTGCATTTTCATTAACCATGGTCTGAAAATGTTAAATGGAAAGTTTCAGAAACAAACATTCCTAAGTTTTCAATTGCACGCTGTTCTGAGTAGTATAAAGAAATCTCTCGCTATCCCACCTAGGACATGGACCATCCCTTTGCCCAGCACTTCCAAGGTGTAGACACTTCCCGCCCACTAGTCACTTAGTTATCAGGCTGACTGTTCACAGTGCTTTTGTTCAAGTAACCCTTATTTTAACTTCATAATGGCCCCAAAGCTCTAGAGTGGTGAGGCTGGCCATTCAGATATGTCAAAGAGAAACCGTAAAGCACTTCTTTAAGTGAAAAGGTGAAAAGAAAAAAAGATCATCTGCTGAGGCTGCTAAGATCAATGGTAAGAATGACTCTTCTATCTGTGAAATTGTAAAGAAGGAAGAAGAAATTCCGGCTAGTTTTGCTGCCACACCTCAAACTACAAAAGTTATGGCCACAGTGTATGATAACTTTTATTACAATATATTGTTATAATTGATCTACTTTATTATTAATTATTGTTAATCTGTTACTGTGCCTGATTTATAAATTAAATTTTACTATAATAAAATTTACTATAATTTCTATATGTATGTATAGAAAAACATACTATGTTTAGGGTTCGGTACTATCCTTGGTTTTAGGCATCCACTGGGGATCTTGGAACATTTCCCCAACAGATAAGGGGGAGCTACCATAATTTTTCTCTCAGCCAGAATGAGTTAAGATGTCATCAAGTTGGGCCTCCAGAGAAAGGCTATGTGAGTGAGAAGGATGGGCTGAGGGACAGCAGATAGCCCCATCTGTTGGAAGCAGCCCGGCCCCTTGAGCTCAGGGAGGCAGCCTGTCTTGCATGCTCAGGGTGCTGTGGATGGAGTCTATAAATATGAGAGTAGGAGCTGGATGGGCATCCTATGAGCTCAGGCAGCCCAGCCTGTGCCCAGCATGGCCCTTTCTAGACTACATGTCCTCTTCACCTCTGAGGACTGAGCCTCGGCCAGTTCAAGTTTGTCAATGAACAGTCCTGCTGTTGCCTCCATTGCATGTGACCTGGGGCCTCTGGGGCTGGAGGCTGAGCGCAGCTGCCTGAAGTCATGGCACGCATTGCTTCTACCTTCCTTCCTGGGAGATGCCAATAAGTGTCGATGCCAGCATGCTCCTCAGTAGATGAACTGGGCTCCTGAACTGGGCACTAATGTCCTGCTGCTATGAGCACAAAGTAGGGCTTCACTTTCTCATTTGATCTGCTTTGCCTAGTGAAATGTGCACAGTGGATACGTGTCACTTCTAGGCAGAAGTCTTCAGGGGCCAGTGAGCTATTTGCTACTTCTTCCCTTTGCTACAAGTGACCAGTGGTGCTCTAGAGAGTGGGACTCTGTGAGCCTGGGTCCCTGAGTGAGGACAATATGGGGTAGAGCCCTTACCACCCAGTGAGGGGATGCACTGCGAAACCAAGAAATAAACCCTTGTGTTTGAATCCACTGAGATTTGGGGGTTATTTGTTCCCACCATGTTTGAACCATAGTTTAGTTCATCCTAGCCACTGCAGCCACAGTGGACTATATGTGAGACTGGGTGTCTCAGTTGCACCCAGCACAGACCAGATAGTTTTATTTACTGAGCACCTAGTAGGATCTGAGTGTCCTTTCAGGTACAGCTACGTGTTGTTGGATTTCTATCACTAGGCAATGAAAAAAACTCCATGATGGTACCTGCATGCCCAGAAGGAGGAGCAGTTCATTCTTTACACAAGCAACACTGAACTGGGCCTCCAAGAGTTTCCATGCATGGATTCTAACAACAGTTACCATTCTTTTGAGTATTACTGGGAACTGATTGAAACTCTACTTGTTTGAACTCATTTGATCTCTATAATAATTCTAGAAGGTGGTACTGTTATTCCCATTTCACAGATGGAGAAACCAATACTCAAAATAGCAAAGTAACTTACCCGAGAGCACAGTGCTAGGATTCAAACCCCAGAGCCCACTCTCTTTAGCATCTAGGTAGAGGGTTAAGGCTAGGTAAATATATTTACATCAGAGTGATTGGCATGTCCAGGTGTCTGATGTAACATGGTCACAGGGAAATAAAAAAAATATCGTAGGAGTTGAGGTTGGGAGTGTTGGCCAGATTGTGAAGGGTCTTGGATGCCTGGCTGAGAGTTTCTTGGGGGCAGTGGAGTTTGGAGGCCTGGGCTTCATGGGCCTTATGAGTATAACTGACAGTGTGGACACTGGACTGCAGGAGGGGTGTTATAGGAGGCAGAGAGGAGGCTATAAAGGAGGCCTGGAGAGATGGTGGGCCTGACTCCGCCTACCAGCCTCCTCTCTTTTCCCTGCCACACACACACTGCCTTTGGCTCTTGACTCTGTCCACATGACCTCTGTTTTCTTTTCAAGTGGACCAAAAGCTCTTTGAGAGTGGGTCCCTGTTAGGTGTTCTCTTCCTGTCCTCCTGCACCTTAGCTTAGCTGATGCCTATATTTGGAAAGTCCTCCTTACAGGGCGGAATTCTATACCTCTTCCAAGCCCCAGCCCAAATGCCAACTGCCTGCCAGAGTCTCCCTGGTGGGGGATCTGCCGTTGGATTATAATTGCAACTGGAGTCCAGGACCAGCTCAACTTTGGCTGTTGGTACCACCTGTTGGCCCCAGAGCCCTAGCCTGTATCTGTCACAGGGTGTCCCGCCCTGCCTAGTGTCAGAGAAAGCCTGTATAGGTCTTCCTGTCTCCTCCACCGTGGGCTCCTTGAGGGCAAAGACCCCTTATCTACCCCACTGCTCTGCTGTGGGATTCAGAAGGCACAGGCGGGTCCTTGCTCTCAGCTGCGCTTAGATGGACAGGCCAAGTTTTTGAAAGTGAGATATTCTTGATGTAGAGATGCTCACTTGCATGACTCATAAAACATTAAGCAAACCTTGTTTTTTTCATTAAAAAACAATTAGTCATAATCTCGGCTAATGGCCGGATACAGCTCAGCAGTCAGCAGATGTGGTCCTCATGCTGCAATAATGAAGATGAGACTGAGCCTCATGCCTGCCAAGAGCTTTGCCAGCTTGCAGAGCCCATTCACACCCAGTGTCCTTACTGATCCCCTGAAAAGCCCTGTAAGGCAGACAGGGCATATGCTCTGGACCATTTTGTGGAGGAAGAGGCAGACCCAGAGGTTCATCTATCAGCCCGAGTCCATACAGCCAGCACCAGGCACAGATGGGCCTCTTCTATCCCAGATCCCATATGCTGATGCTCTACCATATGCCGACTTGCTGGCCCTTCTCCCTCTTGTTCCCTGACCCTGTCCTGGGACACAACTCTCCAGAGCAGGGCTCCAGTGTTCTGTGCTGAGTGGGTGCCTATTCCCTCCCCAGCTCAGACTACCAGCTTCAGTCACTTTCAGAAGGTGCTGATCCTGCCTTCCATGGGAGTGGGTCTTTTAGACTCATGTGGGCACCCAGTGACTCTAACACATAGACCAAATGCGGAAAGGAAGGTCGCTTTCTTCCAGGTTTGCTGTTTGCCATCTGGATCAGAGACCATTTAAAATCTGGGAAGCAAGACATAAAAATTAGGGAAGCTAAATCCTGGTACAACATTTAGAAAGCTCACAATGAGGTTAGTAGGGTTGTCACTGTCCTTGGGCAGGTTACAGGCACCTGTGGTGGTGTCTTAACCACACTCCCTGGG